GAGCTCCAGCTCACCTTAGCCGATTTACCGGAAGCCGTGATCAACTCAGTCGATCCACTTGACCCGGCGAATCAGTTTTTGGAGTCGACCGCACAAACAGACATCGAGAGTTGGGGAGTGATCGTCAACAGCTTCGCCGATATCGAACCGCCGGCATACATTCAACTCCTTGAATCATTCTACGGACCGGTTGCCGGAGGCCGAGTTTGGCTCGTCGGCCCCCTAAACCTCCTCACCGAAACCGAACCGGTGGAGAAGCTCAGCTCTGAGTCGGAGTGTATTCGGTGGCTCGACCGGCAGCCCGATGGATCGATCATCTACGTGGCGTTCGGGACGCAGGTGGATATTTCTGATGAGCAGCTGGATGAGGTAGCCCACGGGCTGGTTCGGGCCGGGATCCGATTCCTATGGGCCGTGCGGTCGGAAACATGGCTGCCACCCATAGGTTCTGCAGATCTGGGGAGGATAGAGAGAGGGTGGGTCCCTCAAAAGCAGGTGTTGAGCCACGTGGCAGTCGGAGGATTCGTGAGCCACTGCGGCTGGAACTCGGTGCTTGAGGCGGTGTCGGCCGGCGTGGCGTTGCTGACGTGGCCGATGATTGCGGAACAGTGGCTGAATGCGAAGATGGTGGCGGAGGTGATAGGCGTTGGGATAAGGCTCCGAATCCCGGCTGCGGGAGTGGTGGTTGGAAGGAAGGAAGTGGAAGAAGGGGTGAGAGAGTTAATGGAAGGGGAGAAGGGGAGGAGGGCTAGGGAGAGGGCGGCTGAGCTGGCGGAGAAAGCTAAGGCTGCGGTGGTGAAGGGAGGATCGTCTTATGAGACCCTCGATAAGCTCCTAGAAGAGCTTAGGAAGGTTCCGACGGCTACGGCGGTGACGGAGGTGGAGGAAGGAGAAGCACGGGTTGAAGGGGAAGTGAAGATGGTGAAGATGGTGCATAGGGAATGGCGCGATGGTCTGCAGCCTCTGCATGCATGATGCATGCACCATAAAAATATGATTAAAATAATAATAGTATTCTCATATTTTAATCAGAGCGTTAGAAAAGATGATTTATAAGAGTTTCGGATCCGAATATTTTCATATATATAATATGAATTTTGATTTTAATATATGAATATTTATCAAAGCACAAACAAAATTTTATAAATTTATCATCCACCATTAGAGAAATTATTACGTGTGGAATTGAGACGTGTTAAGATTTCAATAAAATCAAGTCACCTAACTTCTATGTACTAAAAAAAAAAAATTCTATGTACAAGTTCAATATAGAGTGTGTACAAATCATATAGCTTGATTTCATTAAAGTCTGGATGTGAGCAATGTTCGGAATCATCATCTAATAATTTATCCCATAATCAATTTGTTGTAGGAAAAAAAAAATTGGTGGTAAAGTTATTTTTTTAAATAACTTTTTAACAATTTTTTTAAAAAAACTAGTAGCCAAATAAAGATAGAAGATGTTCACTACCATTACAACAGACTTTCACAATACTTTTTTTATCCTACGACAACGATTGAAACACCTATTTGTTCTCTTGCAGCAGTTTAAAATCCGCTGCGCATTCGTCGTATTTGTCATTCTTGCAAATGGTTTCTAAAGTGCCCTTTAATTTGTTGTATTATATCTATTTTTAGCTGTGGTAATTTTGTTAGCTGTTTTAACCTCTACAAATATGCTGTCTTATAATGATTTTAACACCTACAAACATGAACAATTGGTCTGTAGCAGCAATTTTTACACCTATAAATATGAAATAGGGTCTATAGCGACAATTTTAACTGCTAGAATACTGCATTTTGAATCAATGACAATGATTAAAACCATTGCATTTATGACAATTTTTTTTAAAGAATGATTTTTAACATGTACGTACACATTTGATTTATCATTAACAATTTACAATCAATTCCAAAATGCATCACAAAAGTCAATCATACGAGAGGTCTACAACAATAAAATATATCAAAATACTTTTAAAGTTATAGAGTTTCTAATATCAGTGCCACTTTGTATTTAAAAAAAAAAAAATCAATATTGAGCATTATTAAAATTTGGGCCAAGTAACATCAAGTGTTGATGCATAGTTTTCCAGATTAATAAACTTGTTGTAGTATAATCAGTGAAGCCTCTATTGATCAACTTATCCTCAGTATTCAGCCCTAGCCTTGATGCATAGTATTAAACGTCTGCAATACACCAATACAGAGAGACTTATAAAACTGCCAATATTGACCACTAGAAAAACTATCTGGTTCAAGCCACAAGGCTAGCTATTAAATTCATGGAAGAAAATAGGGGCGTTAATATTTGACACAACACGAAAGCCCAATCCGGATCCGACCTGAAAAATCCGGGTTTGACCCGACCCGATTTCAAAATGAGTCTGGTTCGGGTTCCTGCATGTATTCGACCCGTTTGAAAAAATGGGTTGGGTTCGGGTTGACTCAACTCGAAAACCCGTTTAATTTAAATTTTGGATTCCCGCCTGTTTCCCGCTGCCCCGCGCCCGCTGCCCCTCGCCTGCTGCCCGCTACCCTGAGTGCCCGCGCCCATATGCCCCGCGTGCCCCGCTACCCGCTGCTCCCGCCCATGCAAGCCCTCACAAACTGACAGGAGATTTTATTGAAGACCGGCTGATTACTTTTTTTATCTTGCTAGCTTGGAAAGAAAGTTTTATTGACTTTAAAAGCATATTTTATCTTATCGATCTGATTATTTTTTTTTTATGATAGCCGGCACCAGTTTATTTAGATGCATATGTAAAAACAATATAAAAAAAAAAAGCACCGATGAACAAAGATTTCCAAATGTTGAACATGCATAACAAACATTAGTAAATCTGGGCTAAGTAATATCGAGCGTTGAAACTATTTAGATAATAAAATCTATATTATCATATATCAAAATGCATATAGTCTAGAGCTTGACATAAAATCAAAATGTTTATAACATTTCAAAACAAAACATCGGTCATAGATAAACAAAATATCGTGATCATTTATATTTTCTTTTTCCTTCTTCTATATCTTGGATGTCAATTAAACGAAAATTGATCATTAACTCCTTGTTAATAATATAAAAGTCATCAGTGAAAATTAAAATGATAAATAAATCTATAAATGAAAATATTTAATTTTTAATTTTACATATCATAGTCGAGCTTCCTGGTAAAGGATGTTGTCCCTGGTAATTTTGCATAAATTATCTCACATCACTTTGAAGTGTTCGCATCAACTCTTTAAGTCTGATAACACGGTCAAATACAGTATTGCCGACACTATTGTTACCTGGAGTTGTGGTGCTTTGAGAAACTCTCATTCATTTCAAAATTCAATTGCAGCTTTTAACCATTAACAATAATTGAGAAATTATTTCAGTTCATATTTTAAGTAGTGTCATATATATTATGTGAGCAAAACTAATTTAGAGGAAAACTATAGCTAGATACATTTGAGATAATTTATAAAGCAAAACTTAAATGATACAATTCTAAACAAAAGCTCTAATAAAATAATTGGAAGCAAACTTAAATTTATTTTGAGGTTAAAGCTTTTGTTGGTACCTTTGTCTATATAATGCCTTGCTTCATTACTTTAGTGTATAATTGTAACAGCTCAAATTCTTAATTATTTATATATTATTCTCTTTGGCCTGAAAGCCTCACGGTTTTGTCATGTTTGTGTAACATCCTAGTAGATCACTTATCCCAGAATTATTTCAGGATGAGCACGCTTAACTATGAAGTTTCTTAAAAATGATTCCAACAATTACACCAAATGACACCTCAATATTTAAGAGTTTGGTTTCTTTTACTTAAGGGGTTTCACACAACATCAATCGGTGGCCGGGCAGAAGCCCAACAATAGTCCGACGACGATCGGTGGTCATACAATGGTCGATGAGGAGTTTGGTGGCAAGAGAGCTCTAATTGTTCTCTATTCCTTCTCTCCCTTTTCTTACTTGCTTCCCTCCTCTTTTTATGAGAAATTAGGGATATAATTACTACTTTCTAATAGTGGCATGACAAGTAAATATGAGGAAGATCAATGGTAAGTTGTGAGTGGTTTGAATGGACGACCAATATCGATCCCCTTAATCATTGATTGTTTACTGGTCATTTGAATGTCATAATGATATCATAATTTGACTATATTGGGCTAGTTGGATTTGACTCGTCGAGCCGCTCGATTTGACTATAAGCATGTCACATTTAGGGATCGTTTGATCACCCAATTTATGATTTGAACCTTTCAAATCACTTTGAGTCTTCGATTTGGTCCTATTTGGGCTCAGATTGAGTCGAATTTGGTGTCGTTGGGTTCGTCTTTTCGAGATGTTCATTTCAACTATAACTTTGCTAAGATCGTAGTTCATATGGCTCTGAATTTAATTTTGTAAGCTTTTAACTTGATTTTATCTTTAAATTTGTGTCTGATCAAGATAAATTTTTGATGATATATCAACCCTAATCATGTCCAACGCCCCTAAATGCCATAGAATCCTCCTAAGCTAGCTATCTTCCAAAATTAAACAATAAGAGAAAAGTAATCATTCTCATAATGTCATAAATGGCAAACAAACAAATATTTTTAATAATATTCCTTCTTTTTTTTAAAGAAAGATCCCTAATCATATAACCCAAAATAATTTTGATATGAAAATATGACAAACAAATTTATTTAAATAAGATTTCATAGTCGTTCCTCGATTATTTTAAGATATTAATAATAATCCCATAGCCATCAGATTATTTATCTTAAGATGCTTATACTAAATAAATAATTAATTAAAGTTAATCTATATTTCTTTAAGATATATTTTATGATTAAAAATTATATCATAAATACAATTAAGTCAAAATATTCAGAATTTTTCATTAATAAAAAAGTAAAAAAATAAAATAAGAAAAAGAAACGGTGAGAGGCCGCCGAAGAAATTTCACCATGATGATATCATAAACATGACACATCACACACATTTTTATAAAAATAGAGAAAGTAAAAACAAAAGTAAAAAATAATCTTATTGGCCCAAAGTAAAATATTAAAAAATAACGTTGAATTTGCTCTAAAACCTTAAGTATAATATTTGATAAATCAATTTATTAATTTTAAATAAAAATAATCATTCTTGTTTGACATTTTGTGAATGAAAGCTATTTATTCTAAAATATTCTAATAATAAAATACTGAAAGTAAACCCTAAAATTATTTAATTTTATTTTAAATAAATATATTTTAGTTATTTATATATTATTGATACGTACTCCAAAAATTATCTTAATTGGACACGAATGTCAATGCAAAATCAGGCCAGAAACTTCAAAAATTAAATCTGGGATCATATGAGCTCCGATTTCAACAAACTTACAGACAAACTGAGCGTCTCAGAAATACAAACCCAACGACAACAAATTCAACTCAATCTGAGCCCAAATGAGTCCAAATTAAGGATCTGAAGCCCAAAAGTCAACTCAATTTATAAATTTTAAATAATAATAATAATAAAATACTAAACAAAATAAACCCTAAAATTATTCAATTTTATTTTAAATAAATATAATTTTAGTTATTTATATATTATATTTATCTCAAAATAGTAAAATACATTCTTTCTCATTTATTATTATAACAATTATTATTTTGGTAAATTGTGGGCATAGCCCATTCAAATATTTTTTAAAATTTTCTTTAATAAATTAATGGGCCCGATTGACATGGACCTCATTTTTGGTCAACATAAATCATAATCTTCCAATCCACATCAGACGGCTAGTGATGATCATGCTTGTGGGCTCCATTAACAAGTCATCTTCGCTTTCATTAACTCCCGCATTTGACCAAATACAGGCTCAATTTTAAAAACAGCTTACTTTTAATATTAAATAAGGACTCAATTCATCTTGATCTATTGGTTATGAGTTTTGGCTATCAATAAAGAATTTTAGATTTGAGTGTATGTATGTGATGTGTATAAATTTGTCTTTATTTTTTTTTTTTTTAATTTGACTTAATTGGCCTAACGAGCCGCCTGTTTCATGGGCAACTGGCTTCAATACTTTTAATTTTTTAGAAGAATTTTTAAAATTTTAATGCTACCTGGAAGCTGATTGGGCAAGCA